TTCATATGTTCATATTATAAATCCTGATACCTAAATAGTGTAATAATACGTCTTACAACTAGCCGTTGGGATTTTCTTTTAAAATTAGACGGGGGCACATGCCCACCTTCCACTCCACCAAAATTACGTCACTGAACCCAAAAMCACGTAGACGCGTGTGCGCTATAATAGTAGTTATAATAATATAATATTGTAAATGATACGAGAATGACGACGATTCGTAGGGGTCCCATACGGCCGCGCACGCCTCCGAAGTGGCGCGTGGGTACCGCCGACGTGTGTGTGTACGTACGATAGATAGCAATAATATTATGCCGTATTTAAAATGTATTTTATATACCTGCCTACGGGTTACGACGACTATTATACCGACATCTGTTTACGATAAAAATGAAATTACTGAAATKCGGGCATAATAATATTATAATATTATATAGATTTATTTTATTAACAATATTGTCGGGTAGGTACTCACACAACGGCCGCGGTAGCAGGTTCGACTTTTTTTCCTCCGCTCTAAACTCGCGTTCACGTGAGAAATATAACACTTGCGAATTGCGCGGACCGACACGCCCGCTCAGCGATTTCGCCAAAGTCGTTATCAGATGCCATTTATTATATTACACCTTTCGTTTAATAATAATATATAATAAACTAAACGACGTTGACGCGCGCGATGTGCCAGCGCGGAATATCGCACCTCGATAACACCGACCACCCCGTCGCGGTGCGGTGCAAAGGGAATATTCGCGAACACGAACGGGACATTAAAACCAAGACGAATCCGTTAGCACCGTTTCCGCGGAAATTCTTCCGAATACGGCGGCGATATCATTGCTATATATACCAGCCGGTACCAATACGAATATCATTCACCACACCCGATCAGTGCCCTGACTGCGGTATAGGTTCCAGGGAGTGTCAGGATACCGCGGTGCAAAACCCCCTAAGTAGTCACCTATATATAACGCGTGCATCGGGCCGTTTTCGTACCCATCACACACTCTGTGGCCGACACGTTCGCGCGCGCCGCCGTGTTCGTGCGATCTCTGCTCCGGTTGTTGCGCCGCCCGCGCAAAACATGTCCGATGAGGTAAGATATGATATTATTATATTCTTCACTCGCTCGCGTTTCGTTGACTTGTACAACATTATTATTRCAATATTCACTACACATAATATATAGCCACAGATCCGGATCGGACAAGTTCGAGCCATCGACTTTTGTGCGCTTTATCGGCCCACTTACAAACTTAATATCAACTGCACCTACAACAACCATAATTAAACACCAATTATATAGGCTCCGTTTTTTTCGTCATTAAACTCTTAACACATTTTCAGTCGGCAGCCTCACGATTTAAAAAGCTCGAAATTGTCATGGGCCATCGTGAGTTTTACTCGGTATAACTCGGTGGTTCAACYAGGTCCTGTATATGACGTCGCGGGTTCTTATCATCGTCCGATTTCGTTATGAAATGCATATGCAATCGATTAATGYATGATCGCGACTGGACGTATCGTCGACCGTCGACAACGATACCTATATTATAATAATATTACTACCCACTTACGGTACGCGCGATTTTATTATCGAACCGTTTTCCGTTTAACGCTTGCAGTTTGCTAGAAYTTCGCTTAAATTATTATATTATGTGTACAGGTACAAGACAAGTGTTCGACATTTTTTACCACCTTTGTCAGTGATACATCTGTATCAGAACATTTAAGGTACGCGTGACAACCGTTATCCATATAGGATTTACTATATGATGATGATGATGAAACGTGCACGTACAACGTACATAATATCATATGTAATGATATTTTTCGGGTTAAGGCCGGACGCACTCTCATGTGAGTGTGTTGCTCTGGGAGGGGTGGACACGCGCGATCTCCTGAYGCCGTCGCTGACCAGACGGTCTGTCGGACCGTATCGGCATTGCACCTATAGCATTATTATAAAYGTATAAAATTATTATCACTATACAATACACTCGTCGTCAGCGGTGTGGTGGGCGTCTGACCTTGAACGGATGAGTTGTACT